GCTCGGGGCCGGGGCCGCTGCCCGCCGGCAGACACTGGATGGCACTCGCACTCCTTGGCACATCGGGGTTGTTTTCCGACGGAAAGCACATGGGTCTGGAGGGGGTGGTGTGGGGGGGGTGTGGTGCTGTGTGAGTGATTTACTCGGGGGCCGTGGGTCGGTGTCCGGTGCAGGAGCAGCAGGGACCGAAGTCAGAGCAGTCACACAGACGGTCGGGGTCTCTGCTTTGCACCTGTGAAGCATTGCCAAAGGCTGCGGGACGAGCTTCATCGAGACCCTCGCTGCCAACCACCAGACTCACCATGGAGAGCCCCCGTCCCAGTGCTGGGCAGCAGTGGGGGTGATGGGGCAGTGCTGAGCCTCAGCCGGACCCGCCGCAGCCCAGGAACCCCCGCACCGAACCGCTGGGCTCAGTGTGTGCAGGGGTCTCCGGCGGCTGGATCCGTCTCTGAAGAGCACCGGTCCCCACACCTAGTGAACTCGGTGGGAATTACAACACATCATTTATTAAAGGGTTGCTGTCAAGGTTGACAAGCCCCCAAATTAAGTAGCTTAAAAATTCCATTAGCTGAGGTCTTTCTGGTGCCATGTCCTATCTCACTTTTGTTTATCAACCTTCACGGCTCTGAATATCTAGTAGCTGCTCAGCTGTGTCCGTATGGTGGAGAGACGTGGCGGGGAGAATGGGAGAGTTGGGGGGGAGGGAAAAGTTCACCCGCATGCAGCACGTACAGGGCTCTCTATAAACGCACTCTGGAAGCTGGTCACAGCAGCCTGTAAACAAGTGGGGCCCAGGTTCATGTGTGTTTAGCACTCAGCAATGTGAGAGCAAAAACTTCACAGGGAGTAGAACAGGGCAGGAGACTGGCTTCACTTTTAAGGCTCTAAGGCTGTGCTCCAGACCCCCTGCTACCACTGCCAAGGTAAGGTGTCCTCTGCCCCTCCGCTCCCAAGCAGGGGCTGCTGCTCCTTGTGACAGGGACAGGGAAAAATTCTGCATTTGGTTGAAGGAAGGTGCCCAGGAGGTGTGGGTGTGGGCTTAGCAAGGGGACGTGGAGACCTTTTTTTCACTTCAGGTCATGCCCTGGCACCAGTTAGACAAGATGCCGTGGAGCTGCACAGCTCCATCCTCCCGTCCCCTCTGGAGCATGTGGCATAGCATCACAGAATGGTTGGGTTTGAAAAGGACCTTAAGATCATCCAGTTCCAGCCCCCTGCCATGGGTAGGGATGCCTCACACTAAACCATGTCACCCAAGGCTCTGTCCAACCTGTCCTTGAACACTGCCAGGGATGGAACATTCACCACATGGCAGGACTTCAATGCTTCCAGGGAAAGGGATCAGTCTTCGTAAGCAGGCATCTCTACAGAACAGGTTTCCCATCATTTCTAGCTCAGGAGTGGGCTTTTGCACTGCTAGAACACCCTATTCCTTCTAAAGAGAAGCTGGGGCAGCAAATGTCAGAGCAGCTCTGTCAGTGGCTGCGAGGGGCGGCCAGCAAGAGGGTTACTGAGTCTGGCACATGCCGCTTCTGCTTACCGGGATGTTGTTGTGTTGAGTTCCATCAGCATGTCCTTACCCATCTCTGTCTCATGCAGCTGCAGGGCTGGAGAGCATGGTGTGTGTGACAGAGACACAACTGTCAACGAGGTGACAGGGATGGGCCAGGCTGCAAAGCAGCCACAGCAGCACAGCCAGTGTTTAGCTGAGCTCAGGTGTGCCACCTCCTCCCCATTCTGTGACTCCCCAAACACTTGCACAGAAGCAGGAAACTGAGATTCTGTGTCTGTAAGTCTGTCTGTGCTTGTTACACTCACTGTCCCTGTGGGCAAGATCGCCATGGACGGCTCTAGCAGACAGCAGCGACCTCCCTAAGACAGGAGAGAGAACAGAAATTGCATCCTACTTTGTTCAAACAACCAGCCCGCAGCTCCAAGACTCCAGCTTAATCTGTCTGCAAAGCTGAAACTCCTTCCAGGGCTGAGCAATTAGGGCAAGTGCTGTCCTGAGGCTGTGTCATGTGGCTGTGCAAGCTATCTCATAGGCAGGGGAGAAGCCCGCCATGGAGCGGCTGCTCTTTGGGAGGGAGATGCTCCAATGTGCTTTAAATAATCAACACAGGTCCCCATCCTGACACACTGCAGGGGTGGCTGTGAAGAGCTCAGTCCTTCTGCTTCTTGGTGTCAGCAGCAAGGAACACTCAGAGAAGGGTAACAATACAGATGACTCCTGGAAATAGCTCAAATGTCAGTTGGAGGATTGTTCTCCTGAAATCTCGGCCTGATTTGCAAGTCAAAGAGAATGGGATATATCAGGAGAATCAACCAAACTTCAGTAGACGTCTCCAAAACTCCATTTATTTTTGAGAACTGCATATTGCACCTTTCTCTGCTTGATGAACACAGACTGGCATGTCCCATTAGCAGCCTGGCTGTGCAAGCCCCTTGGCCTTAGCTCACAACAGGGTTACACATGGGGGTGCCTCCTTATTAAAGAACAAGAATGAGGCCCTCATCCCCTTCATGACACATGCTGGGCGCCCCTTCAGCCTGGAGCAACATCTCAAACTGGACCCAGTGAAGATGGCAAACATTTACGTGCCAAAACCTGCTCCATCAGCAGTTGCGTGCTGATGTGGTGGTGTTGGCATGGAGGAGTGCGCCGGTACTTGACGGCGTGTGTGTGTGCAGGGACAAGCAAAGCCATGCACAAAACGCTCTCCTCACCTTCCTGTCTCCAGGAGCAATTACTGGGTGTGAGGGGAATGAGAAATCTGTGTGATAAATCTAGAAAAAGCAAACTGCTCCATTCCACCAGGAAGGAACCCAGCTATTTTTAAGTTCAGGGACGATGCACGCAGCCAGATAAAATATTCAGCTTTGTGCAAAAGAAAACAGGAGGAGACTAGAATGATCCCAACTCTGTCTGTCTCTTGCAGCCCTTTCCCACTGGCATGAGGGTCCTGAGACCCCACCCCAGCCCTATGATATCCACCTGGGAGGATGCAGACAGATGGACATGGGGCTGGGTGACCAAACACTAAATATGTGCCTGACCATCTCTAGGACACGCTTGCAAAACCCACTGACCCAAATACTCCCACCCAGAGCAGATCCCTGGCTGAGCAGTTGTAATGAGATGAAGCAGTGGATGAACACTTGGCAACGACCCCACTAGGGAAGCAATGCCGCTGGCCAAGAAGACAAGCAAAGGGCTTGGTTTACCCCTTTGAGCAGTGGGTTTTGTAATGCAGCCCCTGTGCCAGCAAGGGGAGAGCACCCTGCCTCCACCCAGCCCATTATCCAAGGGTAGGGGCACAGGGGCTGTGCAGGGCTCGTGGCCCCTGGCTCGGAAGCGATGGTTCCTGACAAGCGCACGGCAGGAGCCGAGCAGCGTGAAAGCGACCTCATTGCCGCCGATCATGTCAGTGTGGGGAGCGGGACCCCCGCTGCTGACCTATTTACTGCTTAAAGGAGCAGCCTGGCGCCTTGCAGCGATGAGCTGGGGGGAGCCCTGGGGTCCCCAGGGACTCTGGACTGGCCATGGAGTCTGTGCTACGAGGATGCTGTGGAAGGCACCAATGCAGCATTCCCATGCTGTGATGCTAAAACTCCATGGATGCTAGCTCTTTCTAAAATGAAGCTGTTTTTCTCGCCCCTCAGTTGGCAGACCACTATAAATAATGGTGTCGAGCACAACAAAGTAAACACATGCTTTTTGCATTTAGTTGCTGGTTCCAATAACAACAACTATTGTTATTCACATTTACTCCAGTGCTGTTACAGCCTCGCAGAGCATAGCGTCTTGCTCTGCCAGGCAGCGGAAGGATGTCAAGGGCTATTGTATGACAGAGTGGATCCCTTTGTGCTCTCAGCCACTTAATGCTAGCATGAGAGGTGAACAGTAATACGGAGTTATTACCTGTGACAAACAGGGGATCAGGCGGAGACACCCCTGATTTTGGGGACCTGCATGGACTTCATTCCAACAGAACATCTCCAAGCTACTGCTGTTCAATGGCATTGTCACTGGTTTAATTTCAAAGGGAATTGACTTGAATCATTTGTTTTTATATGAGGCTGTGTACAGTTATTACTCTTTGTCTATTCTTTTTTTCTTTTAATAATGAAAAGAAGCCAGACCAGGAAACCAATACTCATGTTTCTGCCTTAAAATTTGATTGTGTAAGAATTGAAATGAGGGATTTTTTATGGGTCTCCCCATACAAAAATTAGATTTCATCACGGAACTGTTTTTCGGATGGTCAACCATTGCAGTTCATTTTGCACTGACAGTTTTAAAACAAACAAACAAAATAAATAAAACTGGGAAGTGACTAACGCTGAGGGTTTTCAAACAACTTGTCTGTCTCCTGTTTCCCAGGGAGAGCATTTGCAAAATGAAAGCATTTAAACGATCTAAGATGCGATTACCATGAAGTGGATCGGAGGAATAAGAAACAGCAGTCCAAAAAGAACTACCAAAAATACCAGAGATTAAAAATGAGCTTTAATCTTGGTGTTTGTGTTGTTCAGGGCCCGAAAGGCTGCTGGGGGAATGCAATGAGATTGAAAAGTCCAAATGACCTGAGAAATGCCTGATGCTAAAGGTGATTAAAACACAGAGCAAGGCGGAGAGGAAAATTATTGTGTCAATTATAGAAAAAAAGGGAAAAGGGAGGGGGGTAACAGCCCCTTGCTACTCCCTGAGGGCCCCAAGCCCTGTCCTGCCACAGCTCCAGTGAGAGCTGGCTTCCTTGCTTCTGCCAGGTGGTCGAGGTGATTATTCCTAATGAATAATAATAATAAATAGTGCAGATTTGCTTCCTGCCCCCCCTCCCAGGGGCTCGCTCCCACAGCAGGAGTCTTCTTCCACCTTTCTTTCAGCAAAGGCAAAACGTTTTGGTTCACAGGGCCAAAGTTTGACTTCCTTCTGCAAATATTTGTAGATGTTACTAGTAAATATCAGCGGCAACATAGGAGCATCCTCCAAGCGTGAGAGGTGTGTTACTTGCGCTGCAATGCTCCGTTGGTATTTGTAAATACATTGCACCTTAAAGAAGTACAACAAGTAATACGCTTGCGGCGAATATTATAATAATTTGTCATGAAATGTGACATCTTGACACTATGAAAGAGAAAAGTATTAACTTAGTGCAGTTGGTAAATATTATCCAGGTGCTACCGGCATTATCTAAATGGCTCCAGCTGCAGAGCTGGAAATGTCAGTCCCAGTACAGATGCAGCAGGATGCTGAAACAGGGGTGCTTCAGGGATGCCGAGACCTAGGTGCATCCCACCAAGGCTGGCCCCAACCTTGCCCTGCCCTGTGCTCACTGGTTGCATCCAGCAGCTGCCCCAGCTCTTCTGCAACCCTTCCTTCCTTCCCTAAATGCCTACACAAGCCACTGCTCCTGGGGTGATACCATCCAGTTGCTCTTCATCAGCAGGTCTTGTACTGACAGCTGACGGCAACCCTGGAACAGTGCTGCTCCAAGCATGTGAATCCTGACCTATGTGAGGTACAATGGGCTTTCACCTTTACATCCCTGTTCCTTAGAGAGATGTCTTACCTCTGGAAATGAAGTGATATAATTATTTAGCTCACCTAAAAAAGAGGCATCAAATTCATCTAATGATTAATTTAACAGGGCTCAGATGTGCTGCTACCTCCATTTCAGCTTTCCTTAAAATCACTTCAACTGGGATAGAAACTGTTCCTCCATTTCTAAATGTATGGCTGTGATTATTACTAATGTGCTCATCGCCTGTGTTTATGTTCACATCCCACCCATGCAATTAGCATGCCCATGCCCGTGCACATTAAACAGCTTTCTGGGACACTGCCCATCACCCTGGCTTCTGACTGGCACTGCACAGAGCACAGAAAGATTTCCAGATGCCAGTGCATGCCAGGAGTGTGCCAGATGTATGCTGAATGCATGCGGAATGTGTGCTGGTTGCATGCTTGGTGAGTGCCATATACATGCTGGATGAATAGAATCATAGACTGGTTAGGGTTGCAAATTGACGGATGGTCAAGAATGAGTGTTGGATGCATGCCGGGTGTGTGCTGGATGCATGCTCCATGCATGTGGGATGCATGATGGATGCACATGGGATATGTGCTGTATGTGTGCTGAATGTGTACAAACATCATGAGTGCACACACAAACATCACTGGTGGAGAAGCATCACTACAATGTCTGCCTGTGCTGTGCTGGAGCAATGTGTACCTGTGCTGCGCAGCCCAGGGGCTTCTACCCATTTTTCAGGGGACACCAAGAAGCGGGTGCCCAAAGAAGCTGCTGAAGTTCCGCAGTGTGGGGCCAATGCAGGCGGGACAGGCACGTCCAGCAGCCGCTGACCGCCCCGCTCCCTTTGTCTCCCTTTCGTTTGACTCCGGGCATTTCACATCCCTATTGACAATGTGTTTGGGACATTCAGACATTGAAGTGACAGTGGCATTTCCATGACCTGAAACCAGAGACTCTGTCGGTGCGGGCTTTGAGGACATTAGCTGTCCATAATCATATGAGTTAGACTTTATCCGGCTTTTAAAGAGCACATGATGAGAACAGCTAGTGACAAAGTGTTTCTGCAGAGCGCGATCTGGCCTGGCAGGATTCATCTCCTCAAGCCCTTGGAATCTGCAATATTCATTAGGAGCTGGGAAAAAATGTGCTTCCTTTGGAACAATGCAAATTTTGAAAGGAAACCTTTCTCACGAATGTGCCCCAGAGCACCGGCTCCGGCAGCAGGGGTGGCAGGGAAGCAATTAAAACCCTTCCAGCCCATTAGTGGGTGCGTTCATTAGAGCAGAGCTACTGCTGCTGGGCAAGGGCAGGAGGCTGTGCACAGTGCTGCTGCTTCAGGGAAAATGTCAGGGCTCTTGTGTGCTTCTGATGCCTTTCTTCTCTGTCACTTAAGGGAAAGGTCCTTGGCCACCAAGGAGGGCACAAAGAAGACTCCCAGTTCATGCAGTTCCTGTGGGATTTTGCAGAGTGCTTGCCATGGGGATGGGCACTGAGGGACAGCAGTGTGGGCAATGGCAGCCAGCCTTGCCATGACATTGCTTCATCAAGGGGCTCATGGCTGGCAGCTAGCAGGGGCCCGTCACACCCAGCCTGCTTCTACTGGCACCGTGGCTTGGTTATGGCACTGTGAGCCACAGGGCCCATCACTTCTGCAGGGATTTATTACCCCTCATGCCAGTGTCCCAGCAGCAGGCGCATCCCCACAGCCATCACATGGTGGTTCCTGAGGGTGCTGCATGCAGCAGTGACATCTGAAGGTCCCCCAGTGATGTTGCCAACAGTGTTTGGGAGGGACAGACAAGCTGAGGAGATGTTTGGAGGGCCCCACCATCCGTGTCATGATGCTGCCCTGCTCGTGGAACTGAGGCCAGAAACCCAGCTGGGAGCAGAGGCGAGTGCTCACTGGAAGCTTGTAGGGGGCTTCTGGTTGCTCTCAGAGATGCTGTATAAACAGTCACAGCCCAGGCCCATCTGTCAGGTTGAAGTGTAAACACCCCTGCCACGGTAGCAGTGAGCCCCTTTCCCAGGAGCAGGACTCTGGGTGATTGCAGTGCTGCTCTTCCCCCTGGTGCCCATGGGACTGCAGGAACTGCCGGCAAACACATGGATATCCTAATGACCTGGCTGCAGCACACCCCAGGGCAAGTCAGAGGAGTGCAGCGTTGTTTGACCATGGCTGCATTTGGTGGGGAGCCTGGGGAGAACGCACAACTGGGGGGTGGTTCTGCAGTAGGTGCTACGGCTCTGCGCTGCACAGCAACTGGCTGACCTTGGGTTGGTCACCGGTAGTTTGTACAATCTGTTGTGGAGCAGCTGATTAGGACCATTCAGCCTCTTCACCACCTAGTTTTCTCTGCTCCATTAATTCAGGATCCCTCAGCATTAAATATAATTTGGTTTTAACTGAAACATGCTCCACTGCTGCCCACTGCCACTGCTTGGAGCTGCAGAAGCATCCAACCATGTGTGGGGCAAGGCTCAGCATCACCTTGCTGCTCCTCTCTCATGGGCTCTTGGGGGAACAAGGGCAGAAAAGAATGAAGGGACCATCATGGGTAGCTGCAGAGATGTGGATTGGATGAACCATTGGTCAGTGCAGAGGAATCTGTGGTGCTGGGTGCCAAGCATGTACATAAAGTGAGCTTTGGGAATGAATGCCATAAGGACAAGGTGGACCTGCTTTGATGGTGGACTGATAATTTGTACTTATTGAAGGTACTGAGGCTTCTGTCCTGATGTGAAAAAAATAAACCTGTTCATAAAGAGGGTAGAGGGTTTGTGCTGAGCACACTTACCACCCGCCATGCGGTCCTGAGCCTGGTGCAGGCAGCTCCTTGCCTCTGCCTGGAGCCTCTTGGGGGTGGCCACCAGGGAAAGGGTTAATTTAACCAGTTCTCATGGGGTTTTGGAAAGTCCCTTTTTTCCAGGAGGCTGCCTGACGCACACTGACAGGAGCCTTTCAGTTGAGCACAAAGGCATCGCTCTCCCCTTGCCCTCTCCATCTCGCCCATCCGAGCCAGCAAGCAGCTATAATCTCACTAGCAGAGGCTTTTACTGCTGTCACTTCAAGCCTTCTTTGCCATGTGAGGGGCTCAGATCTCCAGCAATGTAAAAAAGCTAATGAACGAGTAATAAACAAGTGTAACCAAGCAGAAAGCCTGCACGCAATAACATCTGAGCCATCGCAGCTTTTAGGCAAAGCTTGGAGACACTACCAACAAACAGATATGTAATTAAAGAAAGTCTAATCTTCTTTGGTATCCAGAGATAAAAAGGGGGAAGGGAGGGCATGCATAGAGGTGACAGGGAGGAGAAGTCGTGGTGGAAACAGAAATAGGAAAGAGAAAAGATCAGAGAAGGGAGGGTGGTTGGAGACTGTGCTGCATGAGCCAGAGAGATGATGCAGAGAAAAGCGGTCCCGGGACACAAATCCCTGTGATGTTTGCTCACCTCACTCTTTATGAGAGGAGAAGAGCTGGAGGAGCATCCTCCCAGGTGAGTCGAGGTGTATGGAGAGGTGTTTGAAGTGTTCCTGCTTGCTGCAAGCCAGAGGGTGCAAGGATCTGGCCAGGAGCCACAGGCTGGACTTGACGTGGGGCACAGGGCCCTGGCCCATCTCTTTGCTGTTGTGGCTCCAGCTGTGCCAGGGGATGCTTGGCTGGCAGGTACCATGCGTCAGCAAAACCTGTGTGGCAGAAGGGACTCAGTTCGCTGGTGTCTGGCTCCTTGTCTCTCTGATCACCTCCAGGGAGCAGTGCAAGGCACCATGGCAAATCATCTATATTTTCCCCTGGCTCATTAAAGAAGGGAAATAAATGTTGGGTTTTTTTTCATAAGGATATATAAGGAAAAAGAAAAGTTGAAGCCTGTTGAAGTCATCTTCCGCTTGGCTCACAGTTACTCATCAGAACCTTTGGGGGTCAAGGACCATCACAGCAATGTGGGCTGCCTGTGTTAACTTGCTGGCATTGTCTGAGCGGGGCTGCCATCCATCACCTGTCCCTAAGATGCCTGTTTGTGTGACAGAGGAGGGACAGCAAGGGACAGGCAGGCAGCAGGATAACGAGACCCATGCCAAGCAGTCAGCAGGAGCAGGGCAGGTCACAGCCTCCTGCTGGCTCTGTGGCACACCGTGCACTGGGCTGCACCCCAAGACAGTGCAAGGAGCCCCAGATCCACCTGGAATACCCTAGTAATGCTGGGTTAATGTTACTTAAAACAGCAATTCAAACCACTGGTAGTTATCCCATCATTTTCCTTAGTGCTGATATTAAAATGTCTGGCCAGTACGGCATGACAGATGAAGTGAAACTCCAGGAGATGTTACGAGAAATGACAATTTAATGCCTTTTAATGAAGTCACAGGTCACCATTTTTTCCTTTTAATTTCCACAGTTTAGAAAAAAAAAATAAATAAAAAATCGCAGTCCTCTTGTTCCCTCTGGTTAAAAAGTCCTACGAGAAGTAAATTAAC